TAGGCTCACTATTTGGTTTCTTTCTATCTATAAATACTTATATTTCTGGACCAAAATTCAAAACAATAAAAGTGTATGAATATATAGATTTAGATGTCTGGAGAGAGGTGAGGATAAAGATATGCCCAAAGACCAGAACCTTAATTCATGCAATTTCCCACCAGACTATTTCTGAAGGAACAGTGACGGAAAATATATACTTTTTCTTGTATTTGCCATTGAGCTTGTGTGCTCACCTGGTACAGACAGAGAGGGAGGGGAGAAAGTAAGAAAGCACTCCCCCATGGGGTGATCACACTGCAATCTCTTCTCCTCTGCTTCTTCCTCTTTTCTAGATCTTGGGGATGCACACACATGCTCACATATTTTTCAAGCTACAGAGTCCAACTTTATGGTTGGCTATGTGGAATCCATCCACCTTCAGCACCATATCATGGGCTGGTCCTACAATAACCTTTTTAATTTTGAAACTTTAATCACAGGACCAAAATGCAATGTGTTTCTGATTTATTGCTAAAGTCAACTGAATGCTGTGAGAGAGGAAGAAATCAGTATCTTCCCATGTCTCTGGTCACTTTCCCCATTTCCTCTGAAGACTCATCTTCTGCTGGACCCTCAGTCAAGTCAAGCTTTACCCTCATCTCTCTCTCACTTCCTCCCCTCTCGGTTGGGGGGAGGGGCTCATCTATACCCATGCATTCAGTAACCTTCTGTATCTCCAGACAAGACCCATTTCCCCTTCCTACTGGGCTACTCTGCCTGAATGTTTGAAGGGAACCCAAAATACAATCTGTAAAACATCCCATTCTAGACCTGCAGTTGGTGTAATGGCTATGTTGTTGGACTCCCATGTACTTGACCATGGTTCAAGTCCTGGACCGGATGTCTTAAACTCACACCACGCACATATGTGTGCATGCCCAAGATCCCGAGAGGAGAATGGAGGAGAAGGGATTGCAGTGTGGCCATCCCCCTGATGGGTGATTTCTTGTTTTCTGTCTCTCTGTCTCTCTCTCTGTATTTCTGGCGACTGCAAGCACTTTAGAGCAAAAACCTTTAAAAAATAAAATTCATGCCAAAATCAAGCTCACGATCTTCACACCCTGGTACCCAATATGACCCCTTCCACTATCCCTATCTCACTGGCAAGCACTGTACCCAGCTAGATCTCTCATCAGGAAATGTCGGGTTTATCTGTAACCTCTCCTCTTCTTTCTCCTACTACATGTCCTCCATCACTAAATACTGCCCAGGTTTATCTTCTAAAAATCCTTTTAACCTGTTCTGCCCTCCCAGTTTTGCTACCTTTTTGTTATCTCCCCTCTCTTTTTTTAAGATTTTTTTTTGAGCTAAAAATGTAGGCCCCCAGTAAGGTACACACACCCCTATCTACCCCAGCCTCAGGCAGCCTGGATCACGGGCACATATGTACTCATGCAGCATGTACAGGGAGGCATCAGGATATGCACCAGGACCTCCCATGCAGACTCAATAGTCTTACTGTTGTGCTACTCTCCAGGTGTTCATGACCTCCCCTCTTCCCACACACCATTGTCTCTTGCCTGGATCACTCTTATAATCTCTCAATCAGTTTTCTAATCATCCCCAGTCCTGACCCTTCTCCTAGTCTTTCTCCACAAAGCTACCGGGATGCTTTTTACAAAATGCAAACCTAACATCCACTGCTCAAAACACATCCCCTGAATGGCTCCCCATTTCTCAAGAGACTGAAATCAATAATGTATTCTAGGATTATTCCACCTCACTGGCCTCAGCTTCCTCCTCTCTCATCACCTGAATAGTCCAGCCACATGGACCTCCTGGTTCCTCAGACACTCTCCAAAACCCTCCATACATGGCACTCCATCTAGCTGGCATGGTCGTCTTTGCACTTTTTAAGCCCCTCTCCACCCACCACATAACCACACCCTCTTACCCAGTCAGTCCGCACCAGCAGCCCAGCCTTCTCTAGCCTTGTCCCTCCCAGACAAGCTAAACCCCTTCTCTATTGCAGTCTCACAGAGCAGCACACTTGTCCTTCAGGGGTACTTATCACTATTTGTAATTATGTCTCTATTTATAGTTATTTAACTACACTAATTATTTAATGATCTATGAATGCAGG